TTCTGGAAAAGTGCGTCTACATTGGCCACAGACGCTTTTCCGGAAAAAGGGCTTTTCCGGAAAAGCAGCCTACCAATGTAGACGCTCCTTTTCCGGAAAAACTGAATGGAATAGTATTCTGTTTTAAGCATTTCCGGAAATTCATGCCAGTGTAGACACAGCCGATGTTTAAAGAGTGTTGGGATTTCTCCGAGTGACCTTCATGCTTAATTTTTTGACTTTACCCAGCTTGGGTCATAATTCTAGTCTCCAAAGAGAGATTCACTGAGATTCCCAAGATATTTGTAGTAAAATACAGAGTGAAAAAGGGAGATGTTGGCATAAAATGCAGAGTTTGGCAAGTAGTTGCACTGCGGTTGTTAACACAGTACCTCAAGTTAGAGGTTTCTTTCTCCTGAGTGGAGAATTGGTTAATGCAACCTCTGTGAGTTTTGCTGTATTTAAAATTATGAAACAGCAAGTAGAGCCTCAGGAAACTAATATAATAGGTATAACAGCTGGATACCATTCACCTCCCCACAGCCCCCCATGTGTGTGACAGCTATTCACTCCCAGTTGGAGTAAGTGTACATCACAGTAGCAGTTGTTTTGCCCTGAGTTTATCAGCAATCAAAAACACATTTACCACTACAGACCTTACTTCGGCCACCATGATAACACAGCAGCACTTTCTTGCCGGTAGCATCTAGGGAGACTATTGTTGACATCCTTTTAATAATGATTTAACCTTGCAAGTTCCTTGCTGGCAAATTGACTGATTTCTGGTTAGATCTGATCACACATAAAAGTGGAGCTGCCCAGAGTGAAACACATTTGTTACAACAATTCCAAACATTGGACAGGTTTTTTTTTAAAAGATATTATTTTGGCTTTCCAGCCAGAGAGTAAATGAGAAAGAGTTATCTCTCTTTTTTACCCCAGCCAATGATTTCTATTATTTTTCCATAAAAGTGGCCTATTTTTTTTCCTTTCACCATTGCTCAGAGGCAGATCCCTCTATGTGTGTTCCTTCCTTTTTAAAAATTCTTAGTGCTTTTGAATAGGTGAAATTTAAAATCCTTGAAACTAGTTGGATTTGATTTTGTGTAGAACTGTTATCAGAATTTATTTTTCCTTCCAGAAGAAATTTACTGATATACAGACTTGAGGAATCTATAGCATAAAGTACTAGGGAACAGTGGAGCCCTGCAGCATCCAGAAACCTTTGTTTTGTTATATTAATTACTTTTGTCAAAACTGAGAAAGTACATTATCTCTCAGAAATATTTAATCAAACTTGTTTTATCTTTGGGAGCAAGATCCCGGAACTGGTAAGAGAGAGGTCTCAGTGGAAGGGAAAAAAACCTCTATTCTTAAATGATTTGAGGGAAATAAAAGTTTAAGAAACAAAAATTCTTTTCCAACTCCATTTCCACCTATGCACTTTTACATAGTTTTATTCCTATATATTAACAAATGTAAATGGTACTAAATTGTTGACCCTAAAGTTAATTCTTGTTTTAGTGTTAAAGTGCTTGCTTGGAGAAAAATTATGTGTTTTTACTATCTAGCAAGTGCCCCAGCCTCACCTCGGGAAATGATTAGCCTAAAAGAAAGGAAAACAGACTATGAATCAACTGGAACAAATGCTGCTTACCATGGTAATAAAGGAGAACACACTTCCAGGAAAGACACCATGACAGGTGAGATAGTGCTTACACATCACATATATAAATCGATTATGACAGACACATTCACTAGGCTTGGCTGAGTTTGCTGTAACGGTGGGAAAAGATCAACTTCTGTGATGTCTGAGTACCTCACATTTCAGGTAAAGTAAAGACTGAAAGCAAAAAGAATATTATTAAGTACAGCTCCTTATAACTTTTATGTGAATACAGAGAAGTGTATGCATTCTTGATCACTATAGTGTCATGTGAGCTGTGGCACTGCTATTTAAGTATCCTGTACTTGGGATTTCATATATGGTTGTTAACTATTTAAGTATCCTGTACTTGGGATTTTATATGTGGTTGTTAAATATATATATATATGCATGGTTTTAACCATACATTGGGGCTATGTCTACACTGGCATGATTTTCCGAAAATGCTTTTAACTGAAAAGTTTTCCATTAAAAGCATTTTCGGAAAAGCGCGTCTAGATTGGCAGGATGCTTTTCCGCAAAAGCACTTTTTGCAGAAAAGCATCCGTGGCCAATCTAGACGCGATTTTCCGCAAAAAAGCCCTAATCGCCATTTTCACGATCGGGGCTTTTTTGCGGAAAACAGTACTGTGCTGTCGACACTGGCCCTTTTGCGCAAAAGTCTTTAAGAAAAAGACTTTTGCCTGAACGGGAGCAGCATAGTATTTCCGGAAAAGCACTGACAATCTTACATGAGATCGTCAGTGCTTTTCCGGAAATTCAAGCAGCCAGTGTAGACAGCTGGAAAGTTTTTCCGCAAAAGCAGATGATTTTCCGGAAAACTTGCCAGTCTAGACACAGCCAAATAGTGCCTGGTTTTGAAGATAATAGTTATAAAATTTTGCCTGAAGGATAAAAGACTTATAAGTATGACTCCATACTTATTGCCATATCACATCATATTGTCAGAAAAATCTCTCTCCTAAATGCAATATTTTTATACTTTTTTTAATAAGTAGGTTTTATTTGTTCTGTTACATGTTCCTCTTCTTTTAAATGGAAGTGTGTAAATCTGACTTGTACTGGCCATCACAGTGTTTGAAATCATGCTTTTGGCAGAACATTTTGGTTGGATGGTCTCTAGTGACTGCTTTGTGAAACGTTTCCTTGCTTTCTAGGAGCATACATTTTCCACACTAGTTATTATTTTGACTTTACTAGAATTATGCATTGTTCTTTATATTCTCACAGCCCTTCCCATTCAGCTGTAGTATTTGTCTCTGCCCAATCTGAAGCTTATGTACAAGACTTTGAAATGAGCGGTCAGAGTTCATTTAATTAGCCCACCAATTTCGCATTTCAGTAATTACAAGAATTTGCACACTTTATCTAACTCTGCCAAGTCATCAGTTCTTCAACGGTCTTCATGGAAAATATTTTGTGTTTCTCATCTCATCAATATTAAGTAAGCTTATGTAAAGGTTTTGGACAAGGACTATATTTTTGTTATGTATGTACAATGTCTATCACAATGGTGGCCTGTGCTCCAGGTGCCAGCTAGCTCAACGCATGTAGTAGTACATGCCAACAATCAGGAGTGGCTCTGTAGTTTGTAACCTCTAATCTAACTACAGAATGGCTCTGTGGAGATGTCATGATGCCTGGGTATTGTCTCCCCCTTTGTAGAAAACCAAAACTGGATTGTCTGTTACGTTCTAAAAGTAGCTTGGGACACCACCAGCATGCTGATTGAGTACCAAGCCTCCTGTGCTGAACCATATTTGGTAATCAAAACCCTACATGTTATCATCTGCATTTACATGGAGGAGCAACATGCGAGAAGATTTATTAACATGAAATCTAAGAAGTGACCTAAGATATGGAACAACAGTGACATAGATTTTGCTCACCGATAAGAGCCTGGGAATCTTCACACCTGCCTCTGGCCTTAGGAGACAATTCTGCAGGCAATTACATGAAGAAGCACCAAAGAGGAAGCCATTCGTTCAAGCAAGGTATTGTAGTTGACATTAATTTTCAGTATCTGGGATGTTGGAGAATGACTTACAATTACACTAAACAGAGTTGTTCTACCCTATCCTGCCATGACATTGCTGCCATTCACCTTTCCTGTCACCAAAACAGACACATTGTAAAAGTCATTATCAACATGATTGTGGAGGATAGGTCTGTGTTCAGCTATTGTTACACTTTGTCAGGACCTTGGATACATCCGTGAAGATGGCTTGTCAGGATCCAGTTTGGCAGTAGGGAAGGACAAGGGATATGGTTCCCTTTTAAAATTATATTAAGTAAGAATGATCATAGGTGAGGGCATTTTTGGCAGTTAATGACACATCTTTCACATTGTCTCTCCCTACCTCATAGAATCATAGAAGACTAGAACTGGAAGGGACCTTGAGAGGTCATCAAGTCCAGTCCCCTGTCTTCATGGATCAGCCCTGACAGATCTCCAGCGATGCAGATTCCACAACCTAGGCAATTTATTCTAGTGTTTAACCACCCTGACAGTTAGGAAGTTTTTCCTAATATCCAACCTAAACCTCCCTTGCTGCAGTTTAAGCCCATGGCTTCTTGTCCTTTCCTCAGAGGCCAAGGAAAACAATTTCCCCCTCTCCTCCCTGAGACACTCTTTTCGATTTTCAAAAACTGCTATCATGTCCCCTCTCAGTTTTCTCTTTTCCAAAGTAAAAAAGCCCAATTTGTTCAGTCTTGCCTCATAGCTCTTCTGTAAATCCATGGTCATTTCTCTTTCATTTCTTCACCTCATCACTCTCTCCTTTTTACCGCAGTATATCTGGCCTCTTTCATTCTTTACTTCACTCATTTCCCCCCCCCCTTTTTTTTTTTGCTGTTTAGGGATTGGAAGTTGGTACTTCCCAAGCCATTTTGTTCCATTTTGAGTTCTATTTCCTGTTGTCCCATTCCTCCCTCTCCCATTATAACTGCTATTTTGTTGGGTTCTTTGTAATAAAGTGGGGGGTTATTTGTTGTTGGATTCCTTATACAGTAAAACTCCAGTGGTCCGGCATCCGATGGTCCAGCACTCCTGATGATCCGGCACCATCTGGAACCCGGAAGTGCTCTGGGCAGCTGGACAATTGGAGCTGCTCTGCCCCCGGCTTCCCC